ACTCGCCCACCCCTCCCGCACGCCCACCCCTGTCCTGGCCCATGGCAGGAGCAGGGTCAGGCCCAGCTGCCCCATCCCGTTCCAGGGCACGAGGCCCCTCACTGGTGTTTCCCATGAGGGACCCCTCGTCCCACCATGAAGAACCTTCGTAAGCTCTTCCTGGCGGGGAAGGGGGTGAGCCAGGCCTGCCCCCCCACCCTGCTGCCATGGCTTTGGCCCCTTTTTCTCCCCTGAGGAGGAAGGGGGTGAGCTGGGGTGTGGGGTGCCCAGCCCTGCCAGCAGCTAATCATTAACCCTGCGCCCCGTGTCCCCAGCGCCATCTTGGCTGGGGTGGGACGGCGGCTCCGGCCCCTCGTTCCGTGGCTTCTCCTCAGGGATCCCCTTGTCCAGGCCATGGCTTCCTCTGAGACCCCCTCATCCCGGCCTGCTCTTCCTCTGGGGACCCCCTGGGAAGGCATCCCCATGGTTGAAGGGCTGTGGTTCAGCTTGGGGCTCTGTCTCTGCTTCCCCTTCCCCTCTCCCAGTGTCACTGATGCCCCAAGGGCCACTTTTGGGGCTGTGTCCTTCAGAGGGAGGTGGCAAGATGAAGGCAGCATCTCCATTGCTGTATTTCCTTCCATACGATGGGGGGGTCAGAGAGGCCCGTGCAGCCCCCTCCTTGCCCTGCAGCGGTGGCTGCTGGAGCCCCTGCCCCTCGGTGCCAGGTTGGGTGGGTTGGAGGGTCAGGTGGTGGCTCTTGGGTTATCCCTGGGGCCCGTTCCCAGTGGGAAAAGGTGGCAACTCCCCGTTGGGTATGAGGGGGAGGGTGAGGTTTGTTTTCTCTCTCCCGCTTTGTAACCTTGGCTGCTGGGTGGGATTAGCCCCACTCCTTGGCCATGGCCGTGGCGGGCAGACAGGCAGTGGTGCCTCCTGGCTTTGGCCAGCCTTGTTCTCCTTGTGGGGGACATGGGGATGCAGAGCCCAACCATGGTTGGAAACGCCTTCATCCCACACCATCCTTCAAAGGGAAGAGTGGTTTTGCTTTGGTCCCTGGAGCAGCTGAGGGTGGCTTCTCAGAGATGTCATCCCTTTGCCGTAGGACCATCCTGTGTCCCTTGATGGACAGTGGGGGTGCCTGGGATGGAGGCTGGGAAGCTGCAGGGCTGGAGCTGAGCACCAGCTCACCCGTCCTTCGTGCAACACCCCATGCTTGGTCATCACCATCACCCCAACAGCCACGTCGTGGCTTCTTTGCAAACCCACCCAGGGTGAAGCGTTATGGGTGGCAAACCCCTGACAGCCCAGGGCTGGACCTCCCATCTCCTGGGGAGGAGTTTCCCTTCTGCTTCCCCCCTGCCTCTTAACAAATGCCAAAGGCTGTGGGACAAGAGATGCTGAAGAATCTGCTGTAGCTGGAGGGTGGAAAAGCTGGATGGCTGCACGGCTGGGAAATCCTTTGCTCCAGGAGGGTGTTTATCAGGGCAGTTTGACAAGGCTGGTGGAAGGGCTGTGACCTCTCCGAGCCCTGGTTATCGCCCCGGGGCAGTTCCCGCTGCTCCAGCTCCCCCCAGTTGTGTCTCACTCTGGTTTCCAGCAAGGAAAGGAGCAGACTCACAGCTTATCTCTTGATCTCGCTGGTTGCAAAGTTCCCGTCCCACCCCCCCCCCAAATCACTTTTCAAACAGGAGCAGGAGGTGGGAACTGTCTGCTGTCTAAAATGTTACCAGGCCAGAGAGAGGTGGGAACATCCCTTGTGGAGTTTGTGCTTTTCCCTGCCTTTTCCCTGCTCTTTCCAGCCACCCTGCCCCAAACACATAAAAATAAACACAAGTAAGAAACCCCAAGTAAAACGAGAAAAGAGGAGAGAAAAGGGCTTGGGAGAGAAAGGCACTTCAGAAGAGGAGGAGACACCTCCTTGTTGTTCCCTGGGGCTGGGGAACCCTCCTGGGGACATCTGCTTGTCAGATGGGTGACTGTGTCCCTCTGGGCTAGGCTTGACCTCATGGTAGATGAGTAACCCACTGCCAAGTCCTCTAAGCTCCCTCCTGGAGCCACCAGTGGTCTTCCTTGGGTGTAACTGTGGTCCTCAGCAGTGCAAGCTGAATCATAGACTGGTTTGGGTTGGAAGGGACCTTAAAGGTCATCTAGTTCTTGATTGAGTGAGGTCAGGACCTTGGGAAGAAGCTGCTGGGAAGAGAGATGGACAGAACTCCATGGTTTGTGCTCTGCTTTAACCCCTTGCCCACCTGTATCAGGAGATCCAAGGACTTGTGTTGTACCAACCAATGGGGACAGGGGCATTCCCTTTCACCAAAGTGGATGTAGGTGCTGTGGTGTTCCTCTGACTTTATTCTGGTTGGCATTTTGCTTCTGCTATCACAGGAGGAGCTGGGCCGAGTGGTTTTAGGTGTGTTCCAGCTTTGTGCACAGTGCAGGAGCTGCTTCAGTCCTGCTCTATTCCTGTGGGGCCCTGTATGCTGTCTCCTGGATCTTGGGGGTCTGAGCCCCTTTGGCCACATCCTTGCCATGAATGTGGCTGCTCTGGGGTGGTGACTAAATGGTGGCTGTCTTGGCCAGGGATGGGCTCTCCTGCTCCCCAGCTGTCCAGCATCTTGCACAGCCTGGTTGGAGCCAGGTTGCTGGGTCTTGCTCATGCGGATGTGGTTTGTGCTGGAGCCAGGAAGGTGTCCTGCTCCATTTTATTTACTGGTAGAGATGAAGGAGTCCACAGCCCAGCTGTCAAGGAGTGATTCATCTCCTTGGGCTGTCAGGAGTTGTGTGAGATGGATGAACTCAGCCTTTCTGCAGGGAAAGGGGACTTGGCAGCTTCGGAGGTTTGCTCTGGGTCTGTGATGAGATGGTGACAGCTTGTTGTGGCTGGGGGTAGCTGAGCCTGGGCATCTCTCTGCAGCTCAGTGTCACTGTGACTGCTCAGAGCAGACTGGAAATTCTGTGTCCTCTCCCAACATCTTCATCCCCAGCACTGCTCATGCTGCTGGATGTGGGAAAGAGCTCAACGCCTGTTCCTGCGGCTGTGCCCGTGTCTGGGGCCAGGCTTGGGGCTCACGGTGCTGCAGTGGGACGGGTGCTCCCCTGCCCACCTCTGCTGGCGGTGAGCACGGGGGCTCTGCACCACCTCCTGGGGAGCAGCCTGGCTTGGTCCAGCACAGACTAAGATGAGCAAGGCGGTGGCTTGGTGGCTCGTGCTGCTGAGCCCCGTGGGACCTGTGGTGAGAGGGCTCCCAGGAGGGATCTTCTCAGGCCCTTTTCCTTGGGGATCAGCTGGAGCCTGATGCCTTCAGGACCAGCCCGCAGATTTGCAAGTCTGATGGACTTGTTCTCTGGCAGGTGTTTGCAGGGCAGGGGGAAATGAAGCTGAAGTCCCCAGAAAGGGTAGATTTGTCCCTCTGCTCTTGCTTGAAGACCCTCAGGGACAGTGCCCAGGCAGGACACCCTGCGCTGGGGGTCGGAGAGGGGCTCGTTGCAGACCAGACCCTGTTGCGGGAGCAGGTGCCAAGCAGGGAGCTGGTGCTGCTCAGCAGCCTTCTGACAGAACCAGTGACACCAGTCAGCTGGAGACCGGGAAGCTGGGGGGGATCTCAGCCAACACCCTTGTTATTTTCTTCCCCGTGACCCCTGAAGCAGAGCTGGATGCTCCGGTGTGCAGGGTGAAGCGTCGGGGCCGGACGCGGAGCTGGCGGGAGCACAGTGGCTTTGTCCTGGTGGCACAAAGGCTGATTGTTCTGCCTGGGGGAGTTTGGCTCAGCAAGGTGGGGAGCGAGAGAAAGGGACAGTGAGGAGAAAGAGCAGGATTCCAGGTGTGCTCCTGCCTTCCCCCCCGCGCAGCCCGGTTTGCGCTGGTGACACGGGAGAGGCCGCGGGTCAGGCAGGAGAGCGGGTTGTTGGGCTGCTTGGTTTGGGTTTGTAATTCCCCCTGAACACAGAAAAGGCAGGTATTTAAGGGAGGAAATGAGCAGGGGACTCCGACTCGGTAATAAACGCAACGGATTTCCCTTTATCGCTCTTCCTGCCTGGGAAGCAAATGCAGTCATCTGAAATTACTCACGAAGGCCTGGGCTAGTGCATTTCTGCCTGGTGCATCATCAATTGTGAATTTTCCCCTCTCAAACCTGTTTGGTCAGCTACCTATGCTGTTTTGTTCTCCTTCCCTGGTCCAGTGAGTTCTTTTATCTAACCCATCCACTGCAAATAATCACACTTACAACCGTCTTGTTAGCTGAGTCCCTCGATTAGAATATTTGCTTTTCTTGTGCTCCATTGGTGAATTACATGAGTCACAGGGTACAGTTGGTGTTTGGGGATTGGATAACTCCTGTTTACAATTCAGATGTTCTCAGAACTTGAGCTGGCATGAAAAACTCTCCAAAAACCCCCATGGGCTGTTTACCACTTCAAAGAGGTTCAGCCCCTTCCAAGCTCAGATTGAAACTCAAACAAAGAATCGTTCATTAAGTTCAGAAATGCATGGAGAATTCTTTGAAAATTATTATTTTTAAATTTCTTCTTAGTGTGAGGGGGACCTTCAAGTTTCCACCAAGGACAGGATTTGCAAGTAATAAAATGCATTTAATGACCTTGCTCTTTGTAGTATTTCCAGTACAAGCAGGAAAAGAGAAAGGCAAGAACTCAGTCCCAGTGTAGCCTGTCCAAAACCACAGGTATTTGCAGGAGAAAAGAATATTATCCATCTGTTATCACAGCTCAGGCAAGTTGTGTCATGAACCTGAACCTGTCCTGGAGAGGGCAGGGATGTGTGGGTACCTATTCACCAGCCAATCCAGCCCATCAGTATAGACTGTACAATGTTGTCATTTTCTGCTTTGCTGCTCCTCAAGGACAGTGTTGGGAGCTGAACCCAGGGGTGGCAGAATATGTTCAAATGGAAATCCTTCTCGCAACGGATGGAAGGCTGGATGGTGCTTCTCTAAAGAGGGAAGTGACCCAAGTTTGTTGTATTGAGTGGAAAAACTCCCCTTCCCAGCTGGTGGTTCAAAATGCTGTTGGTGTAGAACCTAACGTTTCATTCCCAGCAGCTTCCAGTGTTGGGTGTTTGTGTGGTTCTGTGTCACGCTCTGGGGAGCACTGAAAGCCACTGGCTTGGCTGGGGGTTTGTAGCACCTCTGGGACAAGAGGAGTGTCACAGCCCTCACTCTTCCCAGGGGCTGGCAAACCCC